TGTAAGGTAAGGGTGGAGGTTAGATAGACCTTAGGTTTAGGGTAAAAGTTCGGCACAACATTGTGGGCGGAAGGGCTGTACTGTGCTGTACTGTTCTATATTCTATGTTATTGTTCTACAGTGATACTGGAGTATCCTCTCCAGGGTGTAAACGTGGGTAAAGTGTACAGAAATCTGGGCTGCCTAAATATCAGGGGTGGGGCACCTTCTCAACCTCCCCTGCTGAGCGAAAGAAATGGAAAGCACAACAGTTGGCACCAGTTTGGTTGCATGAGAAGCCTGACATATTGAGGTATCAGTCCGTTTTTCGTTCCACTCCAGATGTTTTGTCAGGTTTTAGATCTTAGCCTTGAACTATCCCGTGTTATCCTCAACCCACAGCTGGGAACTTGATTCATGAGTGCCGGTGTGTCTCTGTACGTCAGTGGGCATGCACTCGAAATGCCTGGGGTCTAGACCTCCACTGAGTTGCTCTGGAACTTTAGCCTGTAATTTTTGTGTGTCACCAGGAGGAGGTGCAGTTGAGAGTTTGCAGATGGAGAGATTGATTACTGACAGCAGAAAGACTTACACATATGACTCTTTCTTTCCAATTGCTCTGCCTGCCAGCAATGCAGGCTGTAAATGAGAAGCCAATATATAGAAAGAAGGAGAAAGCAGGTTAACTCTTTTCAGCCACACACTGGGCACATCACATTGGCCTGCTGAGCACATACACCTAATTTTTGCTCAGACCTCATATGCTTTAACCAATTCATTCTATCTCAGTAGCTGTTCACTTTAGAAACAGAAAATGGCAGATGTTGCATATCAACACTGGCTGAATTGCCCCATCAGCTTGTGCTTCTAGGAGCAATTTTTTTCTCCATTCATGGAATTTAGGGATTACTGGCTGGATCAGCATTCATTGTCCATCCCTAATTGCTCTGTAGAAAATGGTCATCGGCTACCTTCTTGAACTGCTGCCATTTTTGGGATATAGGGACACCCACACTGTAGGGAGGGAATTCTAGGATTTTGACCTAGCGACAGTGAAGGAACAGTGATATATTTTCAAGTAGGAATGATGAGTGGCTTGGAGTGGAACTTGCAGGTGGTAGTGTTCCCCTGTATCTGCTGCCCTCATCCTGCAGTGTGAGAGAGGTTGAGGATTTGGAAAGTGCTATAGAAGAAGCTTTGGTAAGTTACTGCAGTGCATCCTGTACATGATGCACACAGCTATCATGCACATTGGTGTTCGAAGGAGTGAGAATTAAAGGCTGTGGATGGGGTGCTAATCAAGCAAGTTGCTTTGTCCTGGATGGTGTCAATTTTCTTGAATGTTGTTGAAGTTCGTGTAGGTTGATTGGCTGTGTAGTCAACAGACAGGGTATGATTCTTTCCCAGGTTCAGGTGTAAGTAAAGTGGCTTTATTGGTACCACCAGCCAAATGATGAGAGTTGTTATCAACAGTCATATTAAGCAGCGTGTACTTAGCAATAACCTGTTCACTGTATTCAGTGTGGATTTTGCCAGGGCCACTCAGTCCCGAACTCATTAGAGCTTTAGTTCAAAAGTGGTGAATCCAGAGGCGAGGTGGGAGTGACTGTCCTAGACATTGAGGTAGTAGTTGACTGAGTGTGGCATGAAGGAGCCCAAGCAAAACTAGAGTCAATGGGAAATAGAACATAGAACATTACAGCGCAGTACAGGCCCTTCGGCCCTCGATGTTGCGCCGACCTGTGAAACCAATCTGAAGCCCATCTAACCTAAACTACTCCATTATCATCCATATGTTTATCCAATGACCACTTAAATGCCCTTAAAGTGGGCGAGTCTACTATTTTTGCAGGCAGGGCATTCCACGCCCTTACTACTCTCTGAGTAAAGAACCTACCTCTGACATCTGTCCTATATCTATCACCCCTCAATTTAAAGCTATGTCCCCTCGTGCTAGCCATCACCATCCGAGGAAAAAGGCTCCCACTGTCCACCCTATCTAATCCTCTGATCATCTTGTATGTCTCTATCAAGTCACCTCTTAACCTTCTTCTCTCTAACAAAAACAGCCTCAAGACCCTCAGCCTTTCCTCATAAGGCCTTCCCTCCATACCAGGCAACATCCTGGTAAATCTCCTCTGCACCCTTTCCAATGCTTCCACATCCTTCCTATAATGCGGTGACCAGAACTGTACGCAATACTCCAAGTGCGGCCGCACCAGAGTTTTGTACAGCTGCAACATGACCTCATGGCTCCGAAACTCAATCCCTCTACCAATAAAACCTAACATACTGTACGCCTTCTTAACAACCCTATCAACCTGGGTGGCAACTTTCAGTGATCTATGCACATGGACACCGAGATCTTTCTGCTCATCCACACTACCAAGGATCTTACCATTAGCCCAGTACTCTGTATTCCTGTTACTAAATAGGGGAAAAACTCTCTGTTCATTGGAGTGGTTGCTGGAGGTCTGTCCTTTCAGCTCCAGGACATCTCTGCAGGAGTTCCTTGGGGTATTGTCATAGGCCCAACTATCTTCAGCTGCTTCATCAATGACTTTCCCTCCATCATGAGGTCAGAAATGGAGATGTTCACCACCATTTGCAATTCCTCAGATACCGAAGTAGTTTATGTCCAAATTTGTCAAGATCTGGAAATATCTAGGCTCGTGCTGACAGGTGGCAAGTAACATTCAAGCCATGCAAGTGTCAGGCAATGACCATCTCCAAAAAAAAAAATCAAAGCATTGTCACTTGACATTCATTGGCATTACTATTGCTGAATCTCCCACACTGAACATCCTGGGAGTTACCGTTGACCAGAGACTGAACTACACATATAAATACTGTGATTACAAGAGCAAGTCAGAGGCTTGAATCCTGCAGTGTGTAACTCACCTCCTGACTCCCCAAAGCCTGTCCACCATCTACAAGGCACAAGTCAGGAGTGTGATGGAATACTCCCCATTTGCCTGGACAAGTGCATCTCCAATAACACTCAAGAAGCTTGACACCATCCAGGACAGAGCAGCCCAATTGATTGGCACCACATCCACAAGCATCCACTCCCTCCACCACTGACACTCAGTAGCAGCCCTGTATACTATGTATAAGATGCACTTCAGAAATTCATCAAAGATTCTTAGACAGTACCTTCCAAAACTACGACCACTTCCATCTAGAAGGACAAGGGCAGCAGTTATATAGGAACACCTCCAACTGCAAGTTCCCCTCCAAGTCACTCACCATCCTGAAACTATATCACCATTCCCTCACTGTCGCTGCGTCAAAATCCTGGAACTACCTTCCTTAAGGCATTGTGGGTATAACTATACCAAATGGGCAACAGCATTTCACAAAGACAGTTCACCACTAACTTGTCAGGGGCAACTAGGAATGGGCAATAAGCACTAGCCCAGCCAGTAAAACTTAGCATCCCATGAACGAATAGACCAGAGAATCTCCAAACAACCCATCCGGTCATTGGAATGACCCTGGAAAATTTCCCACTGAGCTTGACTGCAATTAATGCAAGCTATGGTTACAGCACTGCACATGTTAGTCAGTGGACAGCGACACATAGTGGACTGCGGTCAGAATGGAATTAAAAACAATGTGCTGGAGAAAGTGCAGGTCTGACAGCATCTGTGGGAAGAAAGAGAAAGAGAGGGAACAGTTTGAGTCTGGTACATGACTTCTTCACTCGGACCATAGAGTCATACAGCATGGAAACAGACCCCTCAGTCTAATTCCTCTGCACCAACTATACACTCTAATCTGACATAGTCCCATTTGCCAGCATTTGGCCCATATCCCTGTAAACCCTTCCTATTCATGTACTCATCCAGATGCCTTTTAAATGTTGTAATTGTACCAGCCTCCACCCCATCCTCTGGCAGCTCATTCCATTCACACCCCATTCTATGCATGAAAAAGTTGCCCCTTAGGTCCCTTTTAAATCTTTCCCTCTCACCTTAAACTTATGCCCTCTAGTTTTGGACTCCCTCACCCTCGGAAAAAGACCTTGGCTATTAACCTTATTCATACCCCCCATGATTTTATAAACCTCTACAAGCTCACCCTCTCAGCCTCGGATGCTCCAGGGAAAATAGCCCCAGCCTATTCAGCCTCTCCCTTTAGTTCAAACCCTCCAGCCCCGGCAACATCCTTGTAAATCTTTTCTGCACCCTTTCATGTTTAACAACATCCTGGTAGTTGCTGAGTTCCTCCAGCAGTGCCTGTTCTAATTAGTTTACAACGTTATGCGGTTACAATGAGCCTATTAAGTAGATATAGGACCCGGTTTAATTTGAAATCTTGATTATCATTCCCAATACTAACGTTCCCGTGAATTGTCGAGGTCGATCTGCACACATTCTCAATTCACAAGTTAGAGGGGGAATCCTATAGTTGTAGAGTGAGATTGTGTTTTGAGGGGCAATGGAGATGGGGCGCCTGTTAGCGGTACTCCCGGGACTAGCGTGTATCCAGGAAGTAGCATTATTACTGAATGCAATTAGACTGTTTAAGCTTCGCTATAACTAGGGTTTTATTTAACTGTAGTGGAGGGGATAAATCATTGGTGTCTCCCAGATTAACAAAAAGGGCAAAAGCAATACGGACTATCTGGTGAAAACAGCACATTACAATTTCTGAAGAAGGGTCTAGGCCTGAAACGTCAGCCTTCCGGCTCCTCTGATGCTGCTTGGCCTGCTGTGTTCATCCAGCTCTACACCTTGTTATCTCACATTACAACGCTCTGTTGTTTATGGAGATGGATGTTAAAGAATAACTCGAACCCAGTGGCAGTAACACTAGATTCTGAGAGTGCGTTGGTGCTTCTAGTGTCTGATATCTCAATAAACCTAACTTTGTGTGTGAGAGAGAGAGAGTAAAAGCAGCTAATGCCATCCCCTTGCCACAGGAGAGCAGGATTGCTCCTCCGGTTATACCGTGTGAACGGAGTACATCCTCCTCAAAAAAAATACAAGGCGGAGTCTCAGCAGCAATGTGTGTGTTTTGTTTTACACACAGTTGCCACTGGAGAGGAGAGGAGAGGGGAAGGGGTGAAAATGATCGGAAGTTTGCTGACAGTGTGTGAGTGGAGGTAATCGTGAGCCAGTCTGCTGTTTCGCACTTAGGGCGCCTGTTTCAGGCTGAATTTTCAAGTTCGGGCGCGTGTGGATTTCCAGCCGCTTCCTGCTCCTGGGGCTGGGCATTTGTACCTTGTGGCGAATGTAACTTCCATTCTGAACTTCTGCTGGCGTATGGCAACTTGCTGAGCGCGGAGGGACTGGACAGCCCAGGGATAAGAAAAGGGTGAATTAAAACGCAGGTAAGGTGTTGGACCTAACCCAGCAGGGCGTATGAATGGCCAAGCATAGAGCGGGACTGTTGCTATCCTTTGGATAATTCTGCTTGCTGATGTTCCTATGTGTGTATCTCAAGCTGTGTCAACGTGCTGGACGCTCAGGGGCTATGGGCTCCTACACTGGACCTGCACAGTGCAATCCCAAACTGGTTTCATCTTTTCTCCGCCAGTACATCCAATTTACAAATCTAACCACCTTCCCCCCCCCCCCCCGCGCCCGTCTTTTTAATCGTACCTGCCACCATGTGATAATCGTGAGGAGGAGCAAATTCATTTAGATTCCCAAATGTGATTTAGAAGGGAGTCATTTTTTTTATTTCAAAGATGCACTTTACTCATTAAAAAAATACATGCACAAACGCAGTGCATTAGCACAGAGGAAACAAGCAAACATTTGGAGTATGACTCCATCCAACAATCAAAGGAAGGGACTCGAGTAAACAGTGTAGTCGGTGGGAATCCATATTCATCCTCCTCCTCTTCGGTTGAGTTGGGGTTTGGTGGGATGCCGGCCAGATTTACCGAACTAAATACACACGCTTGGGATCAACTCTGACACCAACCCCTTCCTCCAAAAGGGTCTCCGTTTGCAGGGTTCAAAAACAACCCTTCCCCTCCGCCCGCCACCCCCCCAAAAAAAATCCTGCTGTCGATATAGTGCGGAAATATAACCAGCCGAACATTTTGAGTCCAGGGTGAGATTTGAGACAGTAGTGTGAACAAATTGGTTACCATTGGGAATAAGTCAATGATAGGAAAGTCCCTCGTTAATCTGATCCCTGAGGAACTCCCGAGTTTTCCGCTGTCTTCCCATTTACAGCGAGTGCCTTTTCCAGATTAGTGGGTTCTCAGTCGTTCCATTGCAAACGGGCAACTGTAGAGCGACGCCCTCTCCCTGGGCAAATAAATCATGGGGATAAATCTGCAACTCACTCCACTACCACCGATTGGTTTCTCTGGGAGTTTGAAAGGTTACTGTAGGCGGCGCTGGGAACGCTGTCCTCTCAGCCCTGAGCCCAGTGAGGGAATGCTGGCTGCTCTCTCTGGGATACTCCCAGACAAACTGAAGATATAGTGACAGAGCACAGGAGCATTTCTCTGTGTCTGGATCAACCCTGACTCCCTTAAACAACATCACGAAAAACACTCACAACCTGTTCACTTACTGCTGTCTAATTGTAGCTGCGGTGTCTCATTGGCTGTGTAAACTGCTTTGAGGTATCCTGAGATTGTGACAGGTTCTTTCTAAGTGTAACAACGTCCTCCTACCCCCCCCCCCCCCACCCCGCCATATAACGTATCATCTATGCTACCTAGTCCTACCTTTTCCGACCTGTTTCTTCAAGTATTCGAATGTGTTACCTGTTAGCAGCAACGGCATGAACTTCACTGAACAGCTTCGACAGTTTCCTCAGTCCATCAGCGAAACAGCTTTCTGCTTCTATTATCTCAGATTCTCCAGCATTGGCAGTTCCTACAACTCTGTCCTCACATTCTTCAGTTTTCACGGCAGGGTAGAACCAGCCTGTCATTGTGAGGCTCAGGCCGTTTTAACTTCTAAATGCCAAAAAAAGGTAGCTTCTTACAGCCAGCAAGCATTGACCTAGCTACGGTTTAAAAAAAAATGTTTCATACATAAAAAAAATCGTTATGTACGTACACACTTATTAAACAGTTCAGTTCTGTACATACTGAGAAGACATAAACATTGGCATTTGACTTTATTATAACGACAACTTACCTAAAGACATTTAATTACGCAAGGTGCTATTTACGTGTGTTTGAGGCACAGGGAAAGTCCAGTAACTGAACGGATCCCCATTGTACTTTGGCAGAAAGACCTTAGACCGTGGTCTTTGCCCACTGATGCCATAGGTTCTGAAAACGTTTAAACTATCAAAGTGGTGACGAGTTGGTCGGGTTTCTATTCTGCTCAGTTGCTGAACTTTGCATGTTGGGTGTGTGGACACTGCGTGAAAAGAGGTCAACGCTGTATGTAATCACACAAAGGTCACTGGTTTTGTTTCTTTTCCTTTTTATGCGATATAACTAACCACTAAATAGCAAGGGAAGCAGTCGCGTGAGTCAAGCAATGAAGCGCTGCTCGGTGCCTTTTACCTTGTCAACTTGTGCAATCTGACCTGCCTTACAGAATGTGAATTTCAACTATCTGCAGCGGCGGACTAAGGCACGGTCAGTTCATGGGGGCGGTCTGACTAAATGAATAGGGTATTTGTCAATATCGCTTTAAATTGCTAAATTCCACCCCAAGCGTTTGTGAGTTGGTTTACTAAAAGGTCACTGCGGAATCGTTCAACTCGTCTTTGTACCATGGGATTACCCATTGCTTTATCCTTTTGAAAACCATAATTGTTACTCGAACATCCATCATTTTCACAATTTGCTTGGGATGAGAGGTTAATGTTTGATACAGATGTGTAGAATTTACTGCACACGTTTTATGAATCAGAGAACAATCCTACTTTCTGGAGATGAAGGGACAGACCCAAAAGATGATTTTCTTGGAAGTGCAGTTTTGAGATACTTTGTTTAAAGATAAAAGATTGCATTTCATATAAAGCTTGAGGTGACCTCAGGATTTTCCAAAGCTCTTTCCAGTCAATAAAAACTGTAGACGTTTATATTTTAAGATAACCTACTAGCCAAGGTCTGGCCAATGGAAATGTCAAAATCATTAAACACAAAGCAGAAACAGCACTAGCTTTGTTGGTTTGGAGGACAACCTGCAAAAGCTGATTCCATGGGCCCCATGAGCCTGATTGTCTTTCTGAAGATCTGAAAGAGTTGGCATCATATTTGCTTCACCAAAAAGACATTTTTTTTTGTTTAATATAACATCATGGAATCTGTTTACAGCCACCCAATAGAGTAGATGTTTCACATTCCTTTTGCAGTACAGTGCTCCCTCATCACTGCAGTGGGGTGCCGGTATAAAGTGTGTGTCAAAATTCTGTCGGACTAGGCCAGAACGGTGGCTCAGTGGTTAGCACCATGGACCCTGGTTCGATTCCACCCTCAGGCAACTGTCTGTGTGGAGTTTGCACATTCTCCCTGCATCTGTGTGGGTTTCCTCCGCGTGCTCTGGTTTCCTACCACAGTCCAAACATTTGCAGGTTAGGTGGATTTGCCATGCTAAATTGCCCATAGTGTCCAGGGATGTGCAGGCTAGGTGGATTAGCCATGGGAAATGCAAGGTTACAGGGATTGGGTGAGTCAGGGGGTGGGATGGGGAATGCTCTTCAGAGGATGGACATGGACTAGATGGGCTGAATTGCCTGCTTCCACACTGTAGGGATTCTATGATTTACTTGTCTAATCCAGTTTTAAAGATATGGGTGTCTCCTACCCCTCATCGGACAATGTGGTATAATTTTTACAGCTGCAATTATTTAAAAAGGAAGGTAGTCACTCTTTATATTCTGGTGAAAGGCCTATGGAGAAGTACAATCTTCTTTGCTCACTCCCTGGGTTCTTCTGAATCTGCTGTATGATTCCATTGCTTAGATTTTAGATTTCCAGCGAGGATAATTTTACTTTTGAAAGTTCTCCTGAGCATCCAGCTTACTTCTGATATTTTGTTTGCGGTTTGAAATTGAACACCCTGAATTTGGCCTGGTGACTGCAACCTCATTCTTCTGAATAAACTGGAGCTCTGTCGGCAAACTACAATAAATCGGTGTTTCACAGTAACTATTGTTATCTTATGGTGCATTCATTTTACAAATTTTTTTAAACAGCCTCCATGTAATGGAATCAATCCAAATTCAGTACCATCACAATCTTTTGCATGCTATGTGTGTGACACCAGCAATGAATAGTTTGTCCACAGTCTCATGCTGTGCCAGCTGCAGAATAGTTGTAGCTGGCATCTTGCCACCAGATTTTTACATTTACACTTTGTGTAGAACCACTGAGAAGTATTCAAAAAATTGGCACTTGTGACTGGCTGTTTTGCCCTGAGAAAATTGCTGTTGAATATATTTTCAGAAACATGCAGTTTCTTGTTGTGTAAATGTAAAATTCAATTTTTTTTGGTTATTCAACTGTTTTTTTCCCCAAACGAAATGATTTGCTTAACAAAGACTAGAATTGCTCAAATGCACACTGATCAAGAGAGTCTTTGCTTCGCAAACTGATGTACACAGCAGGGTAAGGTTATAATGCCACATATGATTCCACCTACAACATTGAACTGTATTATTTCATCAAACTACACAGGTAGTTATGAAAAAAGAGACCGGAAATGATCAACTCATTTATACTTGGTGCAATTTCTACCTAAATTAACATCCGAAACCCCAGAAGAAACAAAAAAACATTGGCTTTAGCAATACTTGCAGCTGTTGAACATCTGACAAAAAGTAGGAAATTACACAGCAGGTCAGGCAGCACCCATGGAGAGAATAAAAATTCTCCTTTTCAGATATGTACCCTTCCTCTGAACTCTGTAAAGATCCTTGGGGCAATTTAGACAAAAAAAATCATTTCTGACCTGCAAAGAGTCCAAGAGACCATGACAGCTCATCAATATTTCATACTGTAGGGCACCTAGAGGTATAAAGGTATGAGATGTATGGTGGTCCCTATCCAAGGCACATATGCTGATTTGGAATTATATTGCCATCCCTTTTACTGGGTCAAATCCTTGGTCTAACCAGTGACACTCAAATCCCAAGAATGAATTTTAATGAAAAACATCCATCTATATCCACCTATCTACCTTCCTTTTCAGAGCTCCCAGTGAATCTTGTATTAATCCAGCCACTGAAAGAATCAAACCCAGGTCCCTGGCACTGCAAGGCAGCAATGCTAACCACTGTGCCACTGTGTGGTCACTCTTACTAGGCTCTTTGTCAAAAGGGATCAAAGCCAGCTAAGGTTCCCAGTGCCCAGTGATTCTTATTTCGCAAGGAAGTCAAAGGTCACCCAGGGATGATGGAAAT